CCAATAGATTGTGATGTTCAGGGGGAGGCGGGTTAGTACCAATTATTTAATGTTCCCTATGGCATCAAATCTCAGCGCCCCCTTCTTGAGTCACCTCCTCCAAGTCCCGGTGACTCCCTCCTCCCTAGTGTCAAGCCATTCTGTGCCACCTCCCAGCTGAGCGGGGGTTGTCTCCATCTCCCTCCCCCTCCCAGCGTTTCCCTTTCCCGCTTCCCTCTGCTTCTTCCTCTGCCAAAGGGCTGGGAGTGAGTTGCTGGATGGAGGAGCCTTGATCTGTGCCCCACATTACTGCTGCTATCCCAAATCTGTCCATGCTTTGGGGAGGGAGTGCGTCCATCCATACAGAGGATTTACTGAGCGTAATCCCTCTGCCAAGCTTCCCCCCTCACCCCGCCCCTGACCCACTCTCGCTGAACAGGACCAGACGGCACATCAGAAATCAAGGGGAAAGTGTCCTGAGGACTGTGCTTCTGGGATGTCTGCTGTTTTGGGCGGGGCGGGGCTGTGGTTAGGGCCCAGGCTGGAAGCGGGAAGGCCCGGACTGTATTCCCAGATCTGCCCTGGAGTCACTGTGTGACCTTGGCTGGTCAGTCACTCCTCTGTGCCTTGGTAAACTGTGTGTGTAAAAGCTGGATGGGGTGTGTCAGTGTGGAGAGGGGCGGGTCAATGAGCGCTTATGGGGAGAGCTCTCCTCCAATGGAAGTGCCGGGTATTTCCATGTCACTGCATAGGGAATCATGGGATTAGATTGCTCTGTGGAAACATTACCTGCATTTCTAGCCGAGGGCCTCAAAGCATTTCCCAAATGTTAATTAAACCTCATGCCACCTCCTGACAGGCAGCTGAGTATCACCTGACCCATGTTGGGGAAACTGAGGCACAGAGTGAGTCACACAGTGACTGAGGCAGGGATAGAACCCAGGAGTCCTGACTCCAAGCTCATCTGCACCAACCAGCAAGTAATACCGCCTCCCTCTCCCCTGCTGGCTTGAACTGGGAGCAGTGTGACTCCACGGATGTGGTGGCTGGGCCTGGGAGCCCTCATCCATGGTGTTACACTCCTTCTTGAATGCTGTCAGTATGTTCCTGCATTCTTTACAGGCTGCCCCAGAGCCTCAGGGCTCTGCGGCCTGATCCTGGAAGGTGCTGAGTATTTCTTCCTGCCATTCAAGTCAGTGGGAGTTGAGAGTGCTCAGCCCTTGAGAGACCAATAGCGAGGTGTCTACAATTTTGCATCCCGTTTTCTATCTTGGGCAGAAGCAGGTAGACCTGGGTGCCATGCCAGTGGGGCTCAGGAGAGTCCCATAGCACAAGATCCTCCATCCCCCTCATTAAAGAGGGTAGCTGGAGTCCAGTTCCCAGGCTACCCTTACCCATGGGCAGCCAGCACTGTGATGACCTAGTGCAATCCTTAGCCCACACATGGCACGTTGGCGTTGCACATTGGCCCCAAGCTGGTGTCAACGAATGTTCCAGTCAGAAGCGACATGTTACTCAGTGTCTCTGCTCCCCGGGTCTCTCTGTCGCTCCCTGTCCTCCCAAGGGGCTGCCCCATCAGCTTGGCATGGCAGGAGATGACATTTCTAACCACCAGGCCTGGGATCAGAAAATCCACTCAGCTTCTCCGCCGTACGGCGAGCTGGGAGCTGCGATCGGCTGCAATGGTGTTGATGATACACGAGGTTGACTAGAATGCAGGCCGCCGTCTTGGCTTTGCCGGGCGAACAGGAATAGCAACTTGTTTGTGTCAGAAGCAGATCTGACTCAAGGAGCGAATGATTCTCTGACGCGAGCTGCCCTTTAAACAAAATCCACACACGTGCTAGCCTTACTCCTGCAGCATTACATAACCCACAGGCTGATGGCTGAAGGTCACTGGGAGTGGAAGGTGATCCAAATAGCGCTCGGCAATCACACCTAGAGCGTTCCAGGGAGCAGCTTGTGGGGAACTGAAAAATCACCCTTTTCTTGTCCTACTCATCAAATAGCTAAGCACTAAGCTAGGCAGCCTCTTCTGGATGCTTACGGCATAAGATGCCGCTATGTAGAGGTGTTCAGTGCAGCACTCAACCCAAGTCTAGCTCGTCAGTGTCAGTCACTCCAGTGGCTAACTCAGCACTGAAGGGATGACTTACTGATTGAACTGCTTTGTTTCCCTTCAAGGGTCGGTTCAGATCCAGGCAGAGTCAAGTCAGCCAAACTAAACTTCCCAGGTGCATCAGTGGCATTCCACCACATTTTGCTGGGTTGGGTGGAATTTTTTCAGATGAGACCTTTGTCACCCGGGTCCTTTCCGCTTTGCATGATATTCAGAATTCCCTGGCCCTTTGTGGTTGCCCCTATATCCTTTGTAACATACTCCTGTTCTCTCGTTTCATCTCTTTGTGCTGTGTTTTCATTGGCCGCTACTCTCAACCCCAGAAGTGGCTGCATTTGCTGCCTGTGTATAGTGGGGCCTTTTGGGATGAGAGGTTGTGACAGACATGGCGATTTCCTGTAGTATCCTTGGAAAAACCTTATTGAATTAAGTTTAAGTATCTTTGGAGTCTGTTCTAGTAGTTGTAACGGTTAAGTATTATTATGGGCCTGGATGATCCAAGGACTATACTGAACAATGTGGCAGACACAAATGGTCTTTTGGGACAATATATGTGAAGTGGTTTTGCTGGGAAATTTGTAGAGGGATATGAATGCAACTCCCTACTCCCAGTTATGCACAAACCCAGTCTTTTGCAGTGGGTGGACCTCTGTCTGCTGATCACCTGTTACATGAGGCCAAGAACAAAGGACAGACTGAACTGTTCTGATTCTGATTGAGGACTGTTGTACACTTGTAACCACAGGAAAGACCTTGTGGTGGGGGGTTTGGAGGGCTGATTCCTACCAGAGCCCTCCTTGGAGTTGGGAGTGAGCTCTGGTAAGCAGGTGTGTAAGTTTTTTTTTACTGTTTTTAAGACATGGTCTCTGTGATGCTTTTACCTTAAGAATAAATGTGCTTGCTTAGAGCTGCATGGTAGTTTGTGATTGCTGGCAATTCCAGCTCTTCGGAGAGCAAGCACAGAGCAGACGCTGGCATGTTCAGGCAGTCTGGCTTGCTCAGAATATCCCAGTGCAGGCAGGGAGCTGTGCAGCCTGGAAAACCCTAGCCAGGAGGAAGCAAGATGCAGGTCTGTACCCAAGATTGGGGACGGCTGAGGAACCTAACAGGTGCAGTTGCCCTGGATTGTGACAGAAGCATTGTGTAAGATGAGCTGATTGCATGTTGCAGCATGTGGGAGTCTCCCTACTGGAGAGAGTCATGGAGCCATCCCCACGCCCTGCAGCAGGCCTAGCCGGGGAACCAGGCTGCACTGGTGGGTGGGCGGGGAGTCTCATTTTCTAATTGACTTTGGTCAGGGTGTCCAGCACATTGATTTCAAAGGCCAGGGCTTCGGAGCTGCCTGGAGCTGTGCTTCCTCCCTTCCCCACCCCACCCCTCCTCGTCTGCTCTAGAGTGGCAGGGGAGGGAGGGTTTGGCTGTGGATGGAAGTCATCCCTCTTCTCCTTCCCCCCTCTTTTCTCCCCACACCAGGAAGCTCGGTAAAGTGGTACCCCGGGGCAGCATCCATGGGGTGTTTGTCGGGTGTTTTAGCAAGTGCCCCGCTTTGAAGCAATGGGAGCGAGAGAGAATCGTTGACTCAGACCGGGAGCCTAAAGCCTAGTGGCCCTCTGCCAGCTCTGTGTGGCTGCTCCACCCGGCTGGCTCCGGGTCCCGATGCTTAGGTTCCAAATGGCTCATCCCATGACCCAGATTCACTCCTTGTCTCCCCTCCCACCGAATCTGGGCTCTCTTCCCTGCATGCACACAGGCACACATGCAGTGAATGACTCTTGCCTCCCATCCCCTGGCTGAGGGGATGCCAGACCGGCTGGGTGCATTGGAAGGATCATTCCATTGGAACTGGCGGGGCAGGGGTTCTTTCTTTTTAAAAACGAAATGCAGAAAAAGCCAGAATAGGAATTTCTCAAGCTTACCCCATGAATGCTGCTGTTTCTCATGCCGCGTTCCCGAGGGAGGATGTTGGTGGGCGTGCGGGTAATGCTAGCCTCCTGGAAGCGCAAGGGTTAACGCAAGGGTTCTTCCACGCACACCATGGTACGTCTGGGGCTACGGTGTAACACGGCAGGGTGAATGTCTCCGGCATCTGCTCTCCCTTCTAATCCAGTGTAGTGCTTAGCGGTGTGATGCCCATGCCCACAGCATGGTCTGAGCACAGGACTGGGAGCCAGGACTCCGGCGCTCCCTCCCAGCTTTGCCAGTGATTCACTGTGAGCAATGGGAAACCTGCTCTCCCCCTTTGTGCCTCAATTTCCTTATCTCGAAGACGGGAGTGATGGCCCCTGCCTCCCCAGGTGCTCCAATGCTGTGGAGAGCATGGCCATAGCAGTACCTGGACAGATGGACGTTGAGAGGCTGAGCTCTGTTGTGCGTCTGATGGCTGCAGTCCAGCTCCCTCCTGTCCCCTGTGTAGTGAGTCTGTGCCAGGGGGAGACGCTAGCAATCTGCCAGCAAAATGACCTGGAAGAAGTGGTTGGTTCCAGCTACCTCACCCTTCCCTCCCCCACCACAGAGCCAGTACCCTGTGTGTCTCTATCCGTGACTAGCTACAGTGCTGGGATGCGTTTCTTGAGAGCCCCTTGACCCTGCTGCATGGAGCTTATGTCATGCTGGGCAGTGTGGCCCAGTGGGTGGGGAACTAGGTTGGGAATCTGGACATTTGGGTTCAGTTCCTAGATCTGCTGGGTGATCTTGGGAAAATCACTTCCCCCTTTCTGTGCCTCAATTTCCCCATGAGTAAAATGGGGGACACTGGTATTTCCCTCCCTCCCAGGGTGTGGGGCAGTTTCCCCTTTCCCAGTTGCTGCAGTGCCTCCCAGTGGAGGGCTTGGGAAGTGCCATGTGCTGGCCTCACTCAGTCCACGCCCCGGTGCCCTCATTGTTGATTTCTTGTCTCTCCCAGGCTGCAGGCTCAGTCCAGAGTAAGGTGCTGCCCAAGATGAGCTCCTCATCACTGCTGGAGGACAGCTCCATAGAGCCCCCGGTGCTGCTGACTGACATAAAGACGGAGCCTCCTGAAGAGCTGCTGGCCAGCGACTGCAACCAGCCCCAGGCCGAGCCTGTGGACCTGTCACTCAACAAGCCCAAGGTGTCTCTTCAGTCCTCCACCCTGCTGCCCTCCTCCATCAGGTCCTCGCCCATGCTGGTGGCACCACCCATCCAGGCCCCTGTGGTCTCCATGTCACCCACGGGGCTGGGCTCTTCGTCTGCCATCCCCGCCGTGCTGTCCCCTGGCTCCATCCTGGCCTCCACGCAGGGCAGCGGGGGCCAGCAGATCCTGCACGTCATCCACACAATCCCCTCGGTCAACCTGCCCAGCAAGATGGGCAATCTACAGACCATCCCAGTGGTGGTGCAGTCCCTGCCCGTGGTCTACACCACCATGCCCACAGACGGAGTCACCGCCGCCATCACCGTGCCCCTCATCGGCGGTGATGGCAAGAATGCCGGATCTGGTAAGGGCTCACTTCCCTTCCCCAGGGCTGTGGGTTGGGATTGAGGAGTGTTGGCAGGATTTGAGGAGCATCGGCAGAGATCAGTGGGTAGGGGAGCCCAGAGCAGGAACCACTGGGAGATGGGGGAGCGGGGTTGTGGGTCAGGCTTGGGGAACCCAGGGCTGGACTAGCAGAGTGAAGCAGTAGCTTGGGATTTGAGGGATATTGGCAGAGCCGTGGAGGGATCCCAGAACTGGCCCAGCCATGGACAGATTGGGCCATGGAGACTGGACCCCTGGAGATGGGATCCTTCCTGGTTAGGGCTGAAGCACGTCAGCTGGGGGCATCGTGGGGGAAGATTGCCCTGCCGCTGACCCACTTCCGTGGCAGAGCTGTCCATCTGGTACCTTTCACCAGGGCTAGCATCATAAGGCAGCAGCCAAGCCAGGGCTTCATAAGGTCCTGTTGGCTCCGCTCCCAGAGCGTGATGAAGCCCATCTGTCTGGGTGTGGGAGGAAGCCTGGCGTGCCGGCACTGCTGCAATGGGCAGGCATCATGTGGTGCCCAGCGGGCAAATGCCTTGCCTCCTTCCTTCGCCTGTAGGTGCATGATGCTGCATGACGCTCCCCTGACCCCAAGTGGCCAGTTGTGGTAGTGGTAGGTGGGCAGTCCCTTCTCCACGGGCTCCGAGTTCAAACCCAGCAAGAGGGAGCAGGGCTAGGTGTCTACCTCCATGTTCCAGCCGGGCTTGCGTCAGCCCTGCCGTGTGCTCAGTCACTTCCCGGGAAATGCAGCATGTGCTTTGGAAGGCGAGGCCCGGCCTGGCGATCGGAAAGGCTGTTGGGTGTCCCAGCTGCACTAGCATAGTCGGGATCTGCTCTGCTGGCCCGTCTCTGACCAGAGCCCATGGTGTCTGTGAGAGTCCCATCGCTGATCCCCCCTGCCAGCAGGCCGCGGGCTCGGAGCCTGTGTCCCCCAGCTGCTCTCTCCAAGGCAGTTGGGATTTCCCTCAGTGTATTCTGGATCTCTTCTTCCCCTCCCCCTGCCATTCCTCTTTCCCAGCCTCATTCCCTCCACTGGCCCCGCAGCTCCCTCTCCATATGCCCTAGCCCTGCACCATGTGGGGTGCCAATGGTTCTGCACCGAATCTCCCCCACCCTCTGCACCATCGCCCTGCACCCACAGCATGTGTGCCCGGGAGCCCACCCCTGAGAAGGTGCAGCCACATCAGACCCTGCCTACTGATGTGGGAGTGGGAGGGGGTTTCTCCCTAAAGGCCTGGCTCAGCTGGCTTCCTCCCTGTTCTTTGGGAGCTCTGGCTGCCTGGGAGCTGCTCTCTGGGGGTATGGGGCGGCACTCAGCACCTGGCGCTGGCAGTTCAGTGTGCCCGGGACTGATGGGACTGGTCAAGGGGGACTCCAGGGGGGGCTCCCCAGTTGCAGGAGAGGGGTGGGTTTGTAGCCACGCTTTCACAGGTGGTCCCTGACTCTAGTTGCCTCAGTGCGTGGGAGCTTGGCTTGGGGCCCCTTAGCCTGTCCAACAGGGCCCTGTGAAACCGGATACCCAGAATTCAGGACCACCTGGGTAGGATGGAGGGGAGGTGCTGAATGGGCTATTTCTTGGCTAAGTGTGTTGGGGGCAGGGTGGTGGTCCTGTTTGGGGGAGATGGGGAGGGAGGGGAGTTTTCCCAGTTGGGAGATGAACATGATTCCTACTGGAGCTGGAGGAAGGGAGTTTCCCTGCTCTGTGTGTACGCTGGGGGTGGGGTTGGGCGGGGTCCCAGCTCTGTGTTTGGGGGATGGGTGCGATTCCTGTCAGAGGCTTGGGAGGGGTCCCAGCTCTCTGTGTGTTTGTGGGTGGGTTTGATTCTCAGCTGGCTGATCAGCACTGGTAGGCGCTGGGTGGTTCCCGGCTGTGGGGAGGGGATCAGCCACCCCTCACAACTGCCTGGCAGGCCCCACTCCACCCTATCTATTCCAGTTCTCATGCTGCACCCATCACCTTGGGCTCAGTGCCTGTTTCTTTCCCACACTGCCCGGAGCTGCATGGCAGAGCTGGGATTCCTGCCCGGGGCAGGCGGGCCCCCCAGTGCTGGGGAGCTGCCTGGCTCCACAGTCGAGTGGCTGTGAGTCAGTCAGCCGTGGGAGGAGGCTGTCTGTCTGCCCTCCATCCTGGGGAGTGGGGTAAGGGGGGGTTTGGCAGGCTGCCTTCTCCCTCACCACAGGGTGGGGTCTTGACCTCCCCTCCCAGGCCCCCCCTGCGGCCGGCTCCAAGGCTGCTCTGGTTCCAGTTAGACTGGCTCCCCCCACTCCCAGCGCTTCCTGCCTCCCATCCGGTGAGCAGAGAACTCCCAGGCGCTTCCTGTCGGAGGCCCTGGCTGGTTCCCCTCTGGCCGGGAACACGTGTGGAAGTTGGGGGGCGGGAGTAGCTGAAATGAACCAGGAGCGGGGGGAGGGGGAGCTCTTTCTGATGGCTGCACCTATGCTCCAGTGCCTTGCCCAGGGGGTGGGGAGGGGACGAGGTGGTGGGGCTGGGCCTGGGTCTTGGGGTTTGGGTCTGGATCCCATGGATGGGCCGGGGAACTGTTGGGCCCCATCCCTCCCCAGGCTGCCAACCCCCTCCCCCAACCCCATCAGCTGTGCCAGGTGTCCTGCTCTGGGGTTCGAGCCGGTCCCTGTCCAGCTCTGTGACCGACTCTTGTGCTGGGCGTGTCGAAGGCCCCGCTGCCCCTCAGAGCACGGGTAGACCTGTCTCAGCCCATTCTGAGTGACTGGTGGGGGCTGAGATGCTGCCAACCCCCTGCTGGCTTGGGGCGCTGCTTTCCGCTAGACAGATTAGCAGGTTTTTCCCCGGAGTTGGGCTCTGGGGCTGGGTGAAGTGCTGTGGGCTCAGGCTGGAAACCTTTCCCACCACTCCAATGCCCTGTCTGTCCAGTCCTCCGCACCCCATCCAGTGCCATCCCCCCGCTGTGCCAGGCAGCTCCCTTGTGCTGCTGGCTCATGTCCCTGTGACTGGGCAAGGGGCAGGAGAGGTGGATTGAGAGGGGACTCAGGGCTCCAGTGCTGGGGCGGCCAATGTTACAGACAGCTCTGGGCAGGGGTGAGGTGACCAATCCCTGCAGCCCAGGAGAAGGACCCTGTGGGTTCTAGGTCAGCAGAGGGAGTGTTATCCCATGGTGCAGTGGCTTTGATCCCTGGGCAGAGCTGGGGACAGAGCAAGGGGATGTGGCTCTGGGGCTGTCTCCGGTTTCAGTGGGTCTCTTTCCTCCCCAGTGAAAATTGACCCCAGCTCCATGTACCCCCTGGAGATGAACAGTGACAGCGAGGACAGCGTCACGGAGAGCAGCTCAGCCCCCTTCCAGGACCTGCAGAGAGAGTGAGTGCCAGCTACACACTGCCCTGGTCTATGGCTGGGGTGGGCCCACTTCTTGGTGATAGAGCTGGGATTGGCTCCTGCGTAGTACGGGGCTGGGGGCGGAGGAAGCAAGGCTTGCCTATTGGGTCTGTCCAGCAGGTGAGGGAGTATCGGCTTCCCCTCCCCCACGTTGATGAGGCTGCACAAAGCTGCTTCATAAATGACTGCCCAGGGCACTGGCATGGTGCTACCCATTGTGGGGGTGGAATCCGGCTGTGGTAGGTAAGGCCATCCCTGGGGTGGAGCTATGGTTCCCTGGTTGCTGCGAGTCAGGCGTAGTCTGCTGCGAGGGGCTGTGCCAGCCCAGAGGGAGAGGGTGGGGCCCCCAGGAACCAGCGCTGTGTGACACTGCTGTCTCCCCCTGCCCAGGTCACGGTCACCGGTGGCCCGGATGCAGCGGGCCGAGTCCCCCGACTTGAAGAAGAGGCGGATTCACCAGTGTGACTTCGAGGGCTGCAACAAGGTGTACACGAAAAGCTCCCACCTCAAAGCACACAGGAGGATACATACAGGTAGGGCTCGGTGGGGCAGCCTGTGCCATGCTGCTGCCAGCCCAGGGTGGCTACGCCCCAGAGCCGTCCCACCGCCCAGCCGGGGGACCTCGGTGCTGCGGGGGGGAATCTCCCACGGGCCCATCGCCCCCCCACGGCCTTTCTGCTCACCATAGCAGAGACCAAGGCATGGCTGGGCTGTGGACACTGAGGTCCCCTTACTACTAGGGACAGGATAAGGTCAGCAGGGCAGAACCTTGCCCTGCCAGGGCCCGTGCTGATCTTGCTCTGTGGAGGGGCTGCTCCAGGGCTGACCTTGCACCAGCTCTGAACTGGCTCCAGTACAATCCGTGAGTGGCAGTGCCTGATGGATGAGATTCCCTGCCCCACCTGGGCAGGGGTTTCTGGGTACCAGCACGAAGGTAGCTGCACTGGGAGCTGGTGTGTCCCTTCCTACACAGTGCATTTGGGGTGAGATCCCCAGAGGAGGCAGAGGGCGGGCAGTGCTGTGGGGTAACAGGGAACACACAACCCAGTTTGGCTTACTTTTGTTCACCTTGGTTTAACTCCAATGGCTAGTGAACCATTTTGTGAGCTCTCCAGCCTCAGAGACAGCACAGCTGAGACCCCCACCAAGTCCTCCCACAAAACCAGAGGTGCCCTAGTTCAGCATTTCTGGGACTCTGTGATCATGCCCTGCATCTCCAAGACCTGTCCATCCTGTGGTCTGGCAGGAAGGGCCTCTGAGCTTATCTCCACCTTGGCTTCATGCCTCTCTGTGCCCAGCTCAGTGGGCGCAGGGCCGTGCCCTGCAGCCGGGAGAGCCCAAATGCCCAGTGACTCCAGTCCAGGGTTCTCAGTTTGGAAAGCTGTGAGCCATGTGCAACCTACTCCAGGCTGCGTTGAAGGGGGCTTTTTAATTAGAGGGAAATTCCAGCTGCCAGCCCTCAGGGTTAATTGCGAAGGGAGCCATGCTGCTCCGGGCTCACAATCTGCCCACAATCTGCACAGGCCCTGACTCTCTCTGCGTATGGTACTGTCCTTGCTCTGCTTGCATGGGTGTGTAGTTCTCAGATAACCACCAGGGGGCAGACGTCTGCCTTCTGGACACAGCTTCCAAGTGCTGGGTTGTCTGTGAAAGCCTTTACAATTGGATTTGAATGTGTGGCCTTGAGAGCTGGGGGGCCAGGGGAGGAGATTCATATCCCCTGGGGGCAAGAGGAGTTTTGTGACTGGGTGCCATGGGCTTCCAGATGAGCTGCTGGAGTGGGCTAACTGGGACATATGGCATGTCATACTGGAGGGATATTGTCCTGGATCCTCTAAGGCATTTAGGCACCTAACTCCAATCGGAATCAATGCCTTTGAGGATCAGGACCATTAGCCCTTTGGGACTAAGAAGGGGATTTATTTTTGCTGACCATGATCCCCTAGGCTGTTCCCTGCTCTGCTTCATGGGGGAGGGCTTTTGTCCTCCTCTAACACACATGTGTTTGACTGAGAATGCAGTGCTGTCCCTCCTGGCTGCTGCGTCTGGCCCCACCCGGCGAGGCCGTAATGTATAGGACTGCGTACAGTGCAGCACGAGGAGTCACGGCCTCTCCATCCCCTCCCCTTGAGGGGATCAGCTCAGGATGGAGGCTGTTAAATGCACTTCTCCCTGGGCTGCAGAAATCAGGGGGCTGTTGAGCCATCCATCCATCTCTTTGCCTTGCCCCCATCTCAGGGCAGCGCCCCCCACAGTCCAGCAGCTGACCTCTGCAAACAGGAAAGCCTGCATACTCTCTGAAGGGGGGGATGGATTTCCCCCCTCTGAATTAGTTGTTCAGTAGGATCAAGGGGTCCCCCAAACTCTGAAGGGGGTTTTATGGGTGTAACTGAAGGCAGGATTGGGACCCTATCCCGTAATCCATGAGGTGCACGGATGAAAGATCCATTCCTTTAGAGAGTCATTGGGAACACTGCATTATAATAATAGAATCGTACAATATTAGGGTTGGAAGAGACCTCAGGAGGTCATCTAGTCCAATCCCCTGCTTAAAGCAGGACCAACCCCAACTAAATCATCCAAGCCAGGGCTTTGTCAAGCCAGGCCTTAAAAACCTCTAAGGATGGAAATTCCACCACCTCCCTAGGTAACCCATTCCAGTGCTTCACCACCCTCCTAGTGGAATAGTGTTTCCGAATATCCAACCTAGACCTCCCCCCACTGCAACTTGAGACCATTGCTGCTTGTTCTGTCATCTGCCACCACTGAGAACAGCCTAGCTCCATCCTCTTTGGAACCCCCCTTCAGGTAATTGAAGGCTGCTATCAAATCCCCCCCTCACTCTTCTCTTCTGCAGACTAAATAACCCCAGTTCCCTCAGCCTCTCCTCATAAGTCATGTGGCCTAGTCCCCTAATCATTTTCATTGCCCTCTGCTGGACTCCAATTTGTCCACGTCCCTTCTGTAGTGGGGGGACCAAAACTGGATGCAATACTCCAGGTGTCGCCTCACCAGTGCCGAATAAAGGGGAATAATCACTTCCCTCGCTCTGCTGGCAATGCTCCTACTAATACAGCCCAATATGCCATTGGCCTTCTTGGCAACCAGGGCACACTGCTGACTCATATCCAGCTTTTTGTCCACTGTAACCCCTAAGTCCTTTCCTACAGAACTGCTGCTTAGCCAGCTGGTCCCCAGCCTGTAGTATGGGATTCTTCCGTCCTAAGTGCAGGACTCTGCACTTGTCCTTGTTGAACCTCATCAGATTTCTTTTGGCCCAATCCTCTAATTTGTCGAGGTCACTCTGGACCCTATCCCTACCCTTCAGCATATCTACTTCTCCCCCCAGCTTAGTGTCATCTGTGAACTTGCTGAGGGTGCAATTAATCCCATCATCCAGATCATTGGTAAAGATGATGAACAAAATCGGCCCCAGGACCGACCCCTGGGGCACTCCACTTGATACCAGCTGCCAACTAGACATCGAGCCATTGATCACTACCTATTGAGCCTGACAATCTAGCCAGCTTTCTATCCACCTTATAGTCCATTCATCCAGTGCATACTTTTTTAACTTGCTGGCAACAATACTGTAGGAGACCGTATCAAAAGCTTTGCTAAAGTCAAGATATATCACGTCCACCGCTTTCACCATATCCACAGAGCCAGTTATCTCATCATAGAAGGCAATCAGATTGGTCAGGCATGACTTGCTCTTGGTGAATCCATGTTGACTGTTCCTGATTTTCCTCTCCTCCAATAATCTGTCTGACCACGAGATGGCGCCATTACTCCACACAAATCCACCTGAAGCTGATGAGGCCGTTTGAGCCAAGACTTAGAAAGCCGGCCCGCTCCCAGTCAGACTGAGGCAGGGATTGCACTGCTTGATCCTTTCTGTCTTTGGTATTTCTCTGGTCCACATCACCACAGCATCTGACCAGCTGACAGTCTTTTACAGCATCCGAGTGCTGTAGGGCAGTGTTGTTATCCCCATTGTACAGCTGGGGAAATTGAGGCACAGAGTGGCTAAGTGACTTACCCACGGTCACACAGTAAGTCAGTGGCAGAGCAGGGAATTGAATCTGGCTGGGCCACAGCCCAGGCTAGTGCCAATCTTCCTCTCCATCTTCTAATGACACTCTCTGCAGCCGCTCTCCGACTGAACCTACTTCAGCGAAGGCAGGCAGAATGCGAGTGTAGCTCTCCTAAAACCAACAGGGAGAGCTGTGGGATAGAGGGAAGGGATGGAGTCTAACCTGAATAGACAGTGCCATAAGGGACGTGGAGTAGAGAACTTTCCTGCACTGGCCAAGGAATGGCTAATCAGCAGGCCTCTTCTGTCACGGGTTTCTCTGGCCCTAATAAGCACATGGCTCTGCAGTATAGTTGCTAAAATGGCAAAACCTGACATTCCAGTTGCTCTGCTCCGTGCATTATCTTCCTAGTGAACTGAGTCCAGTTCTAGGTCTCTGTCCACACAGCCATAGCCACTTGGGTGCGATTACATCTTGGATCATGCCAAGTGTTTTAGCAAACAATGTATTTTGAACTTTGTGGGGAATTCTGAAAGCGTTCCTTGGCACTGTTTCTTTTTCATGTCCCCCTGCCTGAGAGCTGCTTTGTCCCAGTATTGTGAGCCCAGGTGGAGAGAGAGAAAACAAATTCAGTTATAAACCTCCTAAAATAATCAAAAATATCCATTTCTATACAAAAGGATGTCGCCCTGCTCTCCAGCCTACCCCCATTTCATATCATGGGAGAGGGGCTTTGAACAGCACTCGGATGCTCTGAAATGCTTGCATGGCATGCGCATAACCCCTGCAGCCAAGGGGCATTTAACTATTGCTCCCACCTCTGCCCTGCTAGCCTAACAACACTCATAGCAGCATCCTCTTATCCACCCACACAGGTATCCTAGCAACCCAGGCCAGTATCCTAGCCACCCCTCCAGTATCCTAGCAACTCCTCCAGCCCCCAGTCTCATGGAGGCTCCTCCCCCTCTCCCTTATGCCAGCAATAATAACAACCCTCTGCAGGGGTACATGGCTCCTTCAAGCCAGGATTGCCTAGGTCTTGACAGAGCCTCCTGGTGTCTCAGATAGCTCTTCAGGTTTAGACTCGAGCTGGCAGACCTACAGCATGAGGTGATGGAAATGCCAGCCCAGAGGCGTTCCAAGAGGGTTATAACAGTTTTTGTTGTGGATTGATTTTTATGTTGTTACATCTGCTTAGCATCAATGACTAAGTACCATTTTGGAGAAGGGAAGTTTTTGTTAAAGGTTCAACAGCCTCCCACCTTCCATCAAGCCACAGCATGCTCCGATTGCTTCTACCTCCCTGAGGTCTTCCAACAGAGCCAGGAGAGAGCAGACATTCCTAGTGCTTCCTGGGGGGGCCGGGGGAAAGAGGCAGGGCCTGTGTCCTCACCATGTGACTGTGCAGCAAGGATGGAGCCCTGATCTAGGTAAATGCCTGTGGGTAAATGCTACTGTAATGCACTTAATAAATAACTGAGATCAGGCATTATTACTAATTAAGAGCCTACAGGCCTTAATATCTGATCTTGGTTAAGGCTTGTAGGTACTGCTGTGATGCCCCTTGTAAGTAATAATGCCTGATCTCTGCTGACAGCCATAGGTGATACCATAATGCACCTAATAGATACTGCCTAATTTGGACAGAGGCCAGTGGGTGCTGCCATAATAGGTAGAAGTTTGATGTGTGCCCAAGCACTGAGCTGTCCCCTCTGCTCCCTGTGCAGGAGAGAAGCCGTACAAATGCACCTGGGAAGGCTGCACCTGGAAGTTTGCCCGCTCCGACGAGCTCACCCGGCATTTCCGCAAGCACACAGGCATCAAGCCCTTTCGCTGCTCGGACTGTGACCGCAGCTTCTCGCGCTCGGACCACCTGGCCCTGCACCGCCGGCGGCACATCATGATGTAAGGGGAGGGCCTCCGGCTCCTCCACTGCCCCCCCGCCTGCCCACCCCCGCCTCACCAGCCACAGCGGAGAGACTGCGAGACGGGAGGCACCGTCCCCAGCTTGATTCAGCCTGGCAGCAGGCTGGATGCCAGCTTGGCACCTGTGGCTGCCCACACCTGAGAAAGCAGACCTCCTACCACACACATGAGAGCTAGAATGAGGCTCTGGAGAGATGCCCTGCTCCTTCTCTTCTGTTCTCCTCCCCTTCCTTCAGTGGCTGGAAAGCCCCAGGATTCCTCGAAATGGCACCCAGCTCTTCATCTGGCTTTGATTTTTTTTTTTTGCACATTGCCTTCCCCTTCTGGGTCAGGAAACACCGTGGGTGTCCAGCACATGCGTGCACAGCCCCAGCACGACCCTGGCCTGGGGGAGTGAATCAGACTGGCCGGACGGCATCGCTGCAGGCAGAAGGCTGCTGCTGGGGGTTGGATTGGGGGTTTGGCTCACGGCGAGGGGCTGGCCGTCTCCTACCCACGGGCTGATGCAATAGGGCTCCGTTCCTGTGAAGCTGGCGCTGCCATCTCTCCTGTTCCACGACACATCAAACGTGGCTTGTCCTAGCTGATTCCTTGCACTCCCTGAGGTACTGCTGGCATTGGAGAGCCCGCCTGGCCTTGGCTTGATCTCTCTCTTTCATGAGCACATGGGCAACTGGCCGTTAGCGAAGAGGCCTCATTACTTGAGGACAAGGGGCTCATGGTGTTACCTGAGGAGGGAGGGCCCGAGGAACAAAGAAAAGGGAAAACTTTGCGGAACACGGAACTGTGATGATTTTATCTGATTTTAGGGGGGGGTGGGTTGGGGACCCTGAATTCTGCCCACGCTGCAGGGCCAAGGAATAGGACATTAGATATGTTTCTAACTTAAACCTAGCAGCCTGGACACGGACTGTTGCATTTTTCTATTGCTCGTCTGGCCTGCAGAGGCTGAGCCGGCCCCGTGCTGTGCGTGGACTCATGGGGCTCTGTACTGGATCGTTTTGGACTTGATCTTGGGGGGGGCTGCGGGGCTGGAAATACACACGTCCGTGCACAGTTGATATATATATATTTTTTTTTAAGAATTGCTTTTCCCCTTCCCTTCTGCAGGGGCGGAGCTAAGAACCTGCTGCTTTTCCAGTTGCGCCTTTTTGTGTCTGCATCTTTCTCTCTGGTGGATTTGAGTTTGGCAAATGCAGGGATGGAGTGCGCCTGCCAGACAGCCTCTGTGCCACCCACGGGAGAGGGGGCGAGTGCAGTGGCTGGAATTGGTGGGGGGAGGGAGACGGGAAGGAGAAGATCGTCAAGATGAGGCAAACCGGATCCTCGTCCTGCCACCAGCCTGGGCTAGGGATCTGGTGTTCCAGCTAAAGCGAAGAGTCTGCCAGCAATCCTGGTATTGACATGATGTATATGCTGAAGGGGAGAGACTGGGGAGTCCCGTTAAATGAATGTTTGGTGCTGCGTGTGGCTCTGCTTATCACATTGTTTCCCCTTTGCTCCCCAGTCCAGCTCAGCGCTGAGTTCATGTAGGCCCCGCAACTGCATTTCACTGTGCAGGTTCTCTTTCTTCCTCGTGTCCCTTTCATTTAAGAAGGCTCTTGATCCATAGGTGCCGACTCTGTGGGTGCTCCAGGGCTGAACCACCCACTTAAAAAAATAGGGGTTGCCCAGCAGCTGCAGGGCCTGATTAATCTTTTGTGGGCCCTGGTGCCTGGACCATGGCCCCACCTGTGCTCCACCCCCTGCTCCACCCTGAGGCCCCACCGTCACTTGGCCTCTCTCCCTCCACCCCCCTCCGAAGCCCTGCCTGCTGCTCGCACGGGAGGCAGGGGGTGGAGAGGAGCACCCACCCGCAAAACCAAAAGTCAGTGCCTGTGTTTTGATCAACTCGCCACCCACTGCAGCTCCTTTGCGCCTCAGTGGAACCTGGAGCCAGTCCATAGCAGGGGAGGAAGAGGTGTGTGGCCACTATCCGCCTGCGGGTTATGCAGCGAGATCCCAAGCCCTGCCTCTGACGCAGGTCAGCCCTCCTCTGAAATGATCTCCCCAGGCATTGTCCCTTCCTCCAAGGGCGTGAACAAGTCTTTCTGCATGAGGGAAAATCCCACAGGGCCTGCTGCCCTTTCCAAAGCTTGAAGCTGCAGGACAATTGTTTAGGGTGAGGTTCCAGACAGGCTGGCATTTGAAATTCCATCTGGGTCACTTTGCAGCTGGCAGCTAGCTCCATGGGGAAGTAAACGTATTTCATCTGAACTTCAATCCTCAGCCTACCAGGAACACAGATCTGCCTAGACTTTTCCCATCCCCCACATTCCTGTTACCTGGCTGGCCTCAGTGTTGCCAACTCTGGCTGTATTTGGTGTTTTTCTTAAAGCTGCAGGTCCTGGACTCAGGTGACAATCTCAGCTTTCATTGAAGAGCAAAGTTTTTCCTATCTTCCTGGTTGTGGAGCAAACTTTGAACATATGACCTCTAAAGGCTCCAAGTGAACCCCCCCCCCAAATTGTGTTTTATAAAAACCTCATGATTTTTGAATGCTCGGGGTTGGCAATACTGAGATGAGATCTGGGAAGCCGACAGGCCATGTGTTTTGATTTTAATTTCTTCAGTCTGCTGTTTCCTGAGCATCCGTGCAAAACACACACGTACACACATGCAACAGAGCACAACAAGAAAACGAGGAGGGCAAGAGACGGCAAAGGGAACGGTAGCTCCCCTCTGTCTGAGCAGGGCAGGCTTTGCTTTGGGATTTTTACCATGAAATATTTTAAAATCTTGAGCTGTGAGATATTTGTACAAAACTGTTTGACGTTTTTCTACATGGGAATAATATGGAAAGTAGATGCATTTTATTGGTGTGTGTCTTGCTTTTAAAAAGAGGCTTTTTTGTCTTTTGGTTGGTGGGAGGGAAAAGGCCGTAGTTTCAATCCAGTAAAAACAGATCCCCCTTTCTTGGTTCTCGGCGTGATCTCTATAAAGGGAAGAAGTTGTCAAGCACAGTTTTGGGTTCCAAAATTTAGATTTCAACCCCCCCTCCCCCCCAATAAATAAATAAAAAAAGGCTTTTACAAAACTTAAGAGCAATAGATCTATTTCTATGGAGTTTTAACAATATAAGTCTAAAGAAAATAGCATTTACATTTAGAATTTGGAAGTATTTTGGAAGTAGAATTTGGAAGTAGACATTTGAAAATTTCTTTAAACAAATAAATCCCTCCCTTGAAGTGTTTGCAGCCCAAACATTGCAGGGCTGGGAACCCAGAAGTGAAACTGACTTCCTGAGTTGGCAATGTTGAGACAGCGAGAACTGTAGACGGCCTACAGACTCAGATGATATGGGGAAGAATGGGATGCTTCAAATTGCCTTTGGATACCATGATCCGAGATGGTGTTAGTAGCCAAGATTACATTATTAATAGAGTTGTTTTTGTGAAAAAGTTTTGAAATTGTTTTCTTTTTGCAAGGCTCAAAATGAACCCATTTATTTTCACTATTCCTCTCCCAGGCCCCTCAATTTGTCTTTTTCAACAAACTCATTTTTTCCCGTTCCCATTGAAAATGGCAGGGGGTGAGGAAAAGAAGGGGAACAAAAGAAAAGGAGAAAAGTAAAAGTAGGAAAATGATACATTTCAAATAAAACATCCATGAAAAGTTTCCAGAACATACAGTTTTTGGACATGCACAAATTTTTGGGATGCAGAACAAATTGTGACTAGCTGTAATACACAAACATTGAAAGATGGTGTTATTGATGAGTTGGTTCTTAGCCTTGCTCAGTTGCTCTATTCCACCCTCCTCTCCTTAAACTACTAACCCGCTGCCTGCTGGATTCAGTAGCTAGGAGCATGCAAAGACAGACTGCTGGAGGCCTCGCTGCCCCGTCTACACTACGAAAAATAAAATAATCAGGAGCCTGATTTTCAAAGTAGTCCCCAAGCCCACCCACACTCCCATGGATTCAGTTGAGTTGTGGGTGCTGAGAATCTCAGATAACTGGGCCCTACGGGCCAGGGCCCAGATCCTCTAAAGTCTTTAGATGCTTTTCTCTCATTGAAATCAATGGGTGTTAGGCCCCTAAATACCTTGGATAGTCTGGGCCCAGATCCTCAGCTGGTGTCAATGGTCATAGTTCCATGGAAGTCAATAGACCGCTGACAGTTTTACACCAGCAGAGGATTTGGCCCCTTGGGAATGTCTACACTGTGATTAAAAACCTGCAGCACCAAGTCTCAGAGCCCACCCCCCTCGCGGGGTCTCAGAGCTCGGGCTCCGGCCCTAATGTCTACACTGCAATTTTATAGTACTGCAGCCCGACCTCCATGAGCCTAAGTCAGCTGACCCAGGCCTGCTGCGGCCATGTCGTGGGCCTTTTACTGCGGTGTAGATAGACTCGGTGTGTTTAAACTGTTATGAAATATGATTTGTTTCAGTGCGGATTGCTTTTTTGCCTCTTTACACTGGGGTGGGGGGAAGGTTAAGGCCCCGGGTTCTTGTCTAGATATTTACCAGGGTTAGAACTGAGTTTCTTGCCCTGATTATAACTCTGGGGTTTTTCTGTGCCACGTGGGAATGAAAATACCAGTCAAGATTTTCAAAAGTCACTTTGGGTGCCTCAGTTTTTAGAATTGACCAGCTTTAGAGTCCTTTTAAAGGGGCCTGATTTCCAGAGGTGGGTTTTGAGCACTTCCAAGCCCCTTTAAGCTGTCTTGAATTGGAGCCCCGCCCCCAATCACCCTGTTTCCAACACACTTGGGCCCAAATCAAACTTACCAGCAGTGTTTTGAAACTTGGTTATGTCTGTAGACAGTGCTTGCTGCACCCCATCTGCTCCAAGGCAGAGTAGATGTGTGCTGTTTAGGGTATCGTCTGTTGGCATGCCTGAACAATCAGACCGTGCTTTCTCCCAATTTGAAGCCAGCTGGGGTACTTAACTTCTGCTTCCGCTTGCACATGGCTCAGAAGGGAAAATGCAATGGAGGGGGATGAGGCAAACCTGGCGCTTTCTCAGTGGCTGTGTGAGCTGGGGTTGAGCAGGTCTCCTGCATCTTCTGATCCAGTATTGCGTCCCTGACTCAATAGATACATGACCGGGAAATTAGAGCTTGCAGAGGTGTGAACTGCCTCACCCATCCATGGGCCATTAACTCTGAAATAAAAAGAAAAGGAGTACTTGTGGCACCTTAGAGACTAACCAATTTATTTGAGCATAAGCTTTCGTGAGCAGCTCACGAAAGCTTATGCTCAAATAAATTGGTTAGTCTCTAAGGTGCCACAAGTACTCCTTTTCTTTTTGCGAATACAGACTAAGACGGCTGTTACTCTGAAACCTGTAACTCTGAAGTGATGACATTCAGCGTAAGCATCAGTGAACAATGTCAGTGCTGGTTACTTGAGCTGCAGGAACATCCAGCCACAATGGGGTTGTGGGTGCAGTCTGAGCAAAGCCCCCACCACTCCTATCCTACCCCTGTCCCACCACAGAAATTGGGTGAGGGCTGGAGCTTTTGGGGATCACACTCTTCACATGTTGTGGTCCAAATGTGAGTTGCATGCGATGGGACTTGAACAGGGGCAGATCCCCTTGGGCCCAGATTCTCCCAGGTATTTAGTATCAATGGAAGTTAGGCGCCTAAACATGTGTGAGGATCTGGGCCTTTCTCCAACTTTCACTTGGTAAGACCATTCTCTCTAGTGTTTAGAGCAGAAACGCAGGGCTCAGGACTCCTGGTTCTATTCCCAGCTCTGCCGCAGACGTGCGGTGTGACCTTGGGCAAGTCATTTTTTCTCTGTGCCTCAGTTTTCCCCATCTGTCAAATGGGGATAATAATACTTAACCTACCTCACAGGGGTGTTGTGAGGCTTCCTTCGATATTTGCAAAGTGCTTTGAGATCCTTGGATGAAAGGTGCTATGAAGTGAAAAGTATTATTATTTTATTTTTAATATTAAATAACTTATAACGAAGTGCGCGCGTGCCGTGGGCTTGTGTGGGCTGCAGGCGATGTGAAGGCTGCAATGATGGACGCTTAGTGCAAGTGGCATGTGACGCCATTCAAAACCCTCGCCTTTCCAGCTGTGCATCATACTGGCTTCCTGGGTCTGGTGCTTCCCAGACAGCTGAGAAGCTGCAATGGGACCGCCGCCCCCAGCAGCTCAGACCTGATTCCCCAGCCCTGCCCCACTAGCTGCCTCTGGCATCATCCGCCCTGAGAGAAGCACCTCACTGAGCTTGCCTTCAGCGGGGGGGTGCTTCGTGTAAATCTGGCCCCTCACTGTTCTCTGTCAAGGACCCTTTATGCCCTAGTTGTTGGCATCAGGGGAGGGGGCGGGTATGTAAATCAGCTCCCCAAATTCTTGGGTTTTGCTCTTATTTTTGGATCAAACCAAAACCGCTCTTCCACCACCTCCAATTGGGTTGTGTTCCCAGCCCCGCCTGGGAGATCCTCTTGGCCCTACTGGTGTGGCATTTAATGTGTGTTGTTACTAACTGGTGATCAGAGAGTTAATGGCACCAGTGAAACATGCTGGGAACGCAGATTTGGCTGGCTCTGTGTTGTCGCGATTCTGGTTGAGTTTTCTGTTCATGGTTAGTTCTTTCCCTGCGCGCTGTGGATTTGTTTTAGCCGATCTCTATCTCTGCATCCTTTCTGCTGCTGCTCCTTACCTTTCCCTGGGTCCATTATTTTAGTGATGTGTCATATGGAACACAAGCCCACCCTGCAAACGGTAAGTTCAGTAGTGGCTCTGAGCCAGATCCTAGCCCTACAGAAAGACTGATTGGAAGAGTAAAAGCCTGCAGTAGGTTTGCATGACCAAGCAATCGCTCCTTCCCCTGCCCTCAACCCTCTTTTGGGGCCTTGCTCTCCTACAGCCCAGAGAAGATGAAGTGGTTTGGATGGGATGGTTGTTGTGACCCTGTGTATTGAGTGATCTTATCCAGTTTGATTGTTGTACTGTTTTTTTTTTTTTTTTTTTTAATTAATAAAATGGTATTTTAAACTTGGGAACGTTGTTTTATTTTTCCTTCCAATGGGATCTTAGCCCTCTTATATCCCCAGCTACTGGGATCTACTTCTACAGACATATTGGGACTCCATACTTAAGGGCACATCGATCACAGCTGCACTGCCTGAGTATCCTCCCAGCATGGACTAAGCTCCCGAAGTCCTGTCCTAGTATGCCATGGGCACATCCCAAACCCTGGGAAAGAGGCCCTGGGAGCTGGCTGCCCCTTTGATAGTTTCAAAGGATGTTGGAATACTGCTCCCTACCCCCCAGCCAGGATGCTGATGGCTTCATTTTCCATAGAGGGCAGGAATTTCATTTCCAAATGCCTTTCTGGCTTCATACCTTGATCCTGAGATGCACTGAACATCTGTTCGTTATTGTACAGTAGTTTTCTAGAGGCTCCCTCCAGGACTTTGCTGTAGGTGCTGAACATACACATGGCGAGCAAGTCCCTGCTCCAAAGGGCTTACAGGCTAACTAGGCAAGACAGGTGCAGGCTAGGAAGGGAAACTAAGGCACAGAGTAGGGAAGGTCACACAGTAGGTCAGCGGCAGAGCTCTCCTGAGTCCCAGGCCAGGACTCTACCAAGCGGCTCATGCTGCTTCTCCCAGTAACATCAGTGGAAGCTGAGGGCGCTCCACGCTGGGTCGGGCTTGGGCCTGCTGTTGCCGACAATAGGATATCAGCTCATTCAGAGGAGCCCCCAGGACTGAGCACCTGCAACTCCCCTGGATGTCCATGATAGTGCAGCCTGAGCAGAGACGTGGGGATTTGGCTGCTTCCCCTTTGGGGATGATCTAGGCCAAGCCCAACCTCCATCCCTTTACAGAGACCTACCCGCTGTCTGAACCCCCATCCCCCACATGACTGCCTATAATTCCCCCTCCTCTGCTCCCGCTGGGGTATTCTAGCGGTGATTGGGGTGGAGACTGGGCCTCCCCATCCTGTAGTGTCAGGAACCCCATTCGCTCCAGCTGCCTTTCCCTGTCTCCTCCCACCCCATCAGGCAGGCTGCGCCATGGCAGGGCAATCCAG